CACACAGGTAGGTCATTCAGACAAGAAGTCATCTCTGGCAACAGCTCTCGTTCTGGGCCAGGCCCTCCATCTAAATGTGTTCAGGTAGCTAAGGGACGTAACAGCCTTTGTTAAATTTGTTGCATCTTGGTTGCCTTCTGCTCAAAATAGCCCACACACCACAATAGCACATTCTGGGGAGACTAGTTCTGAAACCCTTCAGATATAGACATATAACCACAGTTTTATACGTGGGAAAACAAACTCGTAATTAAAGTTCTGATATGAAATATGTCTCAAAACAAGCAAAAAGCCCCAATATTTTGGGCTGCTTTCTTTTCACTGTGGAATTCCAGTCAGTCCTTTTGCTTGTTTTGCCATGCTACATTTCTAATGTGTCTAGATAGGGTGGATGCTTCCATTATTTGCTGAAATGGTACATCTCGCAGGTAACTGTCTAGGTCTGATGAGTTCAAAGCGCCAAAAGAGTCAAGTCAGCTTAACGAGACCAACACACACCTTTCTTTTATTCTGTTGCCATCTGGCTGTGTGCTCAACTTAAAATTTGAATAACATTTTTTGTAAATTCCATGCTGCTTTTATATTCCTTTAATCAGGTTCTCACTCCTTCCCTATTCTTACTGAAGCGTATTCTGTTAAAGTATAAATGCTTTACTCAGATCATCATTTTAAACTTAGTTTATCCATTGTACTCTCCAGTTTAATTGGCATAATCTTAATATCGAAGTCAATTAAAAATTTACATAATTACATATCTCAAACCATAAACTGCCAAGTAAAGGGTCTATCTCAGCTGACTCTGAAAACATTGAGATGTCACCCTCATTTTGAATATCTTAATACTGTATTCAAAATTTGACTTTTGATTTCCTCTTGAAATTACAGAAGTCAAATATCCTCATCAGACGATCACATTGTAAGGTATTTGAATGTCTGACCACTGTGTCGTACACCTGAAACTAATATAATATTGTATGTCAATTGTAATTGGAAAATAAATTATTTTTAAAGAGTTCAAAAATTTTAAGAATATATAATACATCTCAATAAAAACATAAGGTTGAAAAAGTATTCCCATGAGAGCATTGTTTGCCATGTATTTTTTGTTTTGTTTTGTTGTTTTGCCGTGCAGTTGTTGTTTTTTTAATTAGTTTCAGGTGTACAAAGCCAAGTATAGTTAGACATTTACACCCCTCACAAAGTGGTAACCCCCTCCCCCAATCGACAGCCCCTCTGACATTGGGTATAGCTGATACAATTCCATCGACTCTATCCCCTATGCTGTCCTCCACATCCCGTGACTACATATATATCTATTAGCTATAGTTGACGTACAATATTATTCTACTTCAGCTTCAGGTGTATAGTGCATTGGTCAGGCATCTACAGTCTATGACGTGATCACCCTGATAAGTCCAGTACCCATCTGGCACCTTACATAATCTTTAGCCATGCAGTTTTGAAACTATATTTTATCTTACATGACTTCTCACCTCCATAGCTCAAAACAATTTTTTTTGTTGTTTTGTTTTACTTCTCTTGATATTTTCCAGATAGGCTTGTTAAGGCCATGTCTACATAGTCCAAAAGCTACTAATTAGTTCAATCCAAAAAATACACACACACACACACACACACACACACACACACACACACACACACACAAAGTCTATGTAGGAATCATCTAGACCAGAGGTCATCAAGTCACTGTGATTGGCTAGCAAGATATTAATCTTTTTGAAATTGTCAATATTTGGAATTAGGTTTCATATGAAATACCCATAGACCCACTTTCCTTTTGTTCTCTTGTACTCGAGGCATCTGGCCTGCATTCACCTTGGGGACAGTCCCCTGAAGTGTCAGAGTGACAGCATCCTTCTGCGTTGGAAGGCGTTGTCCTCCAAAGTTCTATTTAGCTCCGGGCCAGCTGTGATTACAGCTGTGATTATGGATGTTGTCTGCTGGCCATAGGCATTTGCAATTGAGAGGCCTCATTTAGGCCAAACATCTGGTTGGTTCAGTGAATGTTTTATTTACTTGACACCTGTGTCTAAGTTTAAATATTCACATTAAAAAAAAAATCAAACAATATTTTTATTATTGTAGGCAATTAATTTGCTATAATTGAAAGATATAAAAATAAATAACATAAAAAAAGAATACTAACCTGAATGTGAGTGTTCAGGATATCATTTCTGATAAGGATGATTCTTAATTAGATAGTTTCTCAGTGTTTGTCATTTTACAAAATGTATAAATTGGCAAAATGACACAACTCTGATTTGTATGTCACATCAAAATTCCTAGGTTCCACTTGAGATTTATAAGTTAAGCTTATAATTAATAACTCATAAGAAGGTGCATAAATCATGCAGAAAATTCTTGTCATTCTCAGGAATGTCTGTGTCGTACCTCTTATTCTTAAACCTTGTCATTTATTTATGGCCATATGAAGGTCAAAAACGTCACAAGTAGATGCAGCTGTCTTGAAGTTAAATGACTTATACAGAACTTGAGAAATGGAAGATGAAGAACTGTGTTGAATAAAATCAAGTTCATGTACCTCATTTCTAAGTCAAGAACTGGAAAATGGATGAAGGTATGAAGATAATTATTAACTAATTAGATATTAGTCAGAAACATAATGGATATTAGAAAGATGACTACATGACTCCATTGGCTGTCACATCAACACCTATAATTTACATGCTTGATGCAAATATCACTTGATATTGATAAATGTGAGTAATACATATTTCCTAGAGACAAACAAAGGATTCTGTGCTACCCTACTCTTGTGATATTGTTATGGACTTATTCGTACTTAGATTTTTCATAGTATTTGTGAAATTTTGGCATATTAAGGATTTTAGTTACTTTTCTTTTTGGTTTTTGTAATTTGACATTTGGAGAAATTGGATATCTGTCTCTCTCTCTCTCTCTCTCTCTCTCTCTCCTCCTTCCCTCTCTTCCTTTTTATTACGTTATAAAACTTAATTGTTCAATGCTGAAAAACTTAATAATTTTGAGTGCTTCAGCCATAGGAAGTAAAAATGTCTTCCTTTTTTCAGCATTCCCTTTCTTTTTGGCTTTCCTTTTGCTATATGTGTGAAGTACCATTAATAATAATATAATAATAATAATTAATCATAATAGGATCTGTGAAATCTGCTTACTCATTCATGCAATCAGAAAACTGTTGAATTTTTAGTGAATCAAGTCTATGAGAAAATCGGCTCTTGTTGGTAGACACCAGTGTTTTTCCTTTAGGCAGAGAAGGAATTAAACCGCCTCTATGTGCAATGAGCAACTGAAGAACCCCTTCTAACTGGCTGTGTAAGCACACTAGCTACCCCTTACAGACACAACCACCATGTGTGCAGGAAATCCATGCACCTCTAAAACCGTCGCTCTTTTTCCATCGCTCTTTTTCCTTTCAGCGTGGGATTCTGAGCTGACTGGGAGGATGAGAGCAGAGGCCCACTCTGTCCTTCCCCAGCTGTCAGTGGGTGTGACTCACGCTGTCAGCATGAGGCTCTTTATAAAGATGCCTATTGCACAGGAAAATGCTTGAAACCCTGGACAGCACAGAGCCCTATTGATTCCTCTTCCACTTAGGGGGCGTTTTTTTTTTTAAATGGAGGAAGTGCCTCTAATGGTTGTTCATAGTCTGAACTCTTAGAGACCTGGGTCCAAATCCTAAACGATGGCCAGTTTCCTCCCTGCAGATGATGTGGGTTTGCTTTCCCTTTATGGGGTTGCTGAAAGTAAAGCAACCATCTCAGCCACGTTCTCCTTCAGAGACCTGTTTCTCTGACCCCAAAGCCTAGATGATGGATGCCAGTCCATGTGGTGTCTCAGGAGACTGGGTGAAGGCGCCTGCAGATGCCCACAGCCCGGTTTAGAGCTGCTGCCTGCTTCTTGATCAGACCTCAGGAAGCAGGTTCTGAGTCTGATGCATGAGTTCATAGTCTCAGCGAGCCCAATAGCTCCTTTGGGTCAAAATCAGAGTTTCTTCAAGATGTAAAGGCTCTTATGCAAAAGGATGACCAGCACTCTAATCCTTGGTTGGTCAAAGCACCAGGCACAGTTGTAGCCACAATTTGAGCAAGCATCTTGGCTGACTACCCCCAGCAGAGCCTTCGGGAGCCCACAAAGCACTGCGTTGGCTGCAATCACACTGGTGGATTTCAGCAGTAGGTATCGGGACAAGGAGTTCACATAACCAGTGATGAACCCTTAGGCAGGTCACCTATCATAAAAGTGCGAACCAGGATCATATCGTGTTACCAAGGAAGGCGATGAGCATCCTAGTCAGTAAGATGAAAGGACCAACCCAGGAAACCGGTGACCTGACGTGTGTCTATCTCAGAAGTTCTGAGGACTAGCATATGTGGCTTACAGGCTGGGACCTCAGATTTATTTTCTAACTGCTTGAGGGGGGCTTAAAAGTGTGCAAACTGCAGCCTCTTCTCCCTGCAGCAAGGCAGTGAGTCACGTGTGTGTGTGTGTGTGTGCGCGCGCGCGTGTGCACCTGTGTTAAATGCTGTCTCATGATGCTCATCTGGATCTCTATTAACCGTGACCTTGTTTAGAATGCACTGTGATAGCTGATGCTTGTATTGATTGTACTGATACCCAGAGGCACAGCTAAACCATGACTGGAAGGAGTCTGCCAAGGAAGAAGAGATGATGTGGAATGTGGTTTTATTTGCAGCTTCTCCACCGACACTGGCAATCCATTTTGGATTCTTTTTCTTTTTTCTTTTCTTTTTTTGTTTTTTTGTTTTGTTTTGTTTTGTTTTTGTTGTTGTTCCTGGGCATGACTACCTAGCATGATGCCCTGTTAGGAATTTATAATTTATTACATCACCCTATTCCATCCACACTTATATCGAGAGAATTCATCTTAATGAGCTGTATGTGACTATATTCCTCCTCTAAATTCCAGACTAACTGTACTTCTTATATCTGACTTTGATTCTGTCTGTTTGTTTCAGCCTATGAACTACAGAACTGCCCAGACCCACCTCCTTTTCAGAATGGGTACATGATCAACTCAGATTACAGCGTGGGACAATCCATATCTTTTGAGTGTTATCCTGGGTACGTTTTAATTGGCCAGCCAGTCCTCACCTGTCAGCATGGAACCAACAGAAACTGGAACCACCCTTTTCCAAGATGTGATGGTAGGTCAGCCATTCTCCTTGGGAGCAATTTATTTTTTCATGTATATAATGGTGCATTAAACATGAATGAATGCAAGAATTCATTAATTTGTTCAACAAATATTTATTGGAATCTATTATGTTAAATTCATTCTACTTAGTAGGAATATACATATGCCAGTAAGTTTTTGAAAATGAGTAAATAGGTCTTGCCCTCAAAAAAATTACAAGGATAACAAAATAATAAACACAAATATTTTTTATGCAAAATCAGATGCAAGCAGACAGTTTTAATTAATTGCAGGTACAAAAGATGGTATTTGCTTGGACAGTGATTGGGGAAATTTCCGTGATGGGAGCGGTATTTAGCTTTACAGTGGTCCCATAACATTGTGAGGGTAGAGGGGAAAAGGATGCTTATTAATTTCACCCTAGGTATTTCTATTGCTTTACTTTTATAATAATCAATTGTATACTGCTTTTGAATTTCAGAAAATTAATTTCATTTCTGTAGTGGGTCTTGAAGTGTGCAAACTGTTTGCTACTCTGAGGTACAGACCACCCAGGTAGAAGAGATGGGATAAGCAAAGATATAGTGGGAACCGTCTTAGGTAGAATAAGGTAGTCAAGTTCAATAGTGCATGGGGACAGCTTTCCTGAGAGACTGTGGAATCTGGCTGATGGGCAGAGGTGACCTGGCAACTGGGATTCATGGAATGCCCCTATTCTGAGCAGAGATCATTTCTTTAAAGCTTCCATCTGGCTACTTGATATTTATGATAACTTTGAAATTTTTGCAATATCAAATTAAAATATATAGACCAAATA